ACTTTATCTGCAAATAAGATAGCTACTCCTACTTTTTTCAGGTTCCTGTCACATGGAGTATTGTTTCCCATACTTTGACTTTCAGTCTGTGAATTTCTCTTTAAGTTAAATGTGTTTCTTGTATGCACCATATTGTTGGATCTTGTTTCTTGATCCATTCTGCCAATCTATTTCTTTTGATTGGTGAGTTGAGACCATTTACATTGATGACTATAGCTGATATCTGTTGACTTATTCTTGTCATATTATTTTCCTATTGTTGGTTCCCTTTCTTTTCTCATAGTTAATTGCTTGCCTTGCCTGGTGAATTCATTCAAAATTGATGAAGAAATAAGATACTTCCATGATAAAGAATGTCTGAAGAAATTCTTGACCACCAAACAAGCACTCCAAAATATTCTGAAGGATATTCTAGAAAGAGACAACTAAGACTACAATTCCATGAACCCCAATAGAGTGAACCAGTTGGTAATTGCAACAAATCTAAAATGCAAGTTCTAAGAACATGAATTGTTACAGATCCTCAGCCATGTGTATGATGGAAATCAGACATGGGCTGACTTTTTTTTTTCCAAGTATTAGAAATTGAATCCAGGGGCTTCACACTAAGGTATACCCCTAGTCCTTTTTCTCTTTTTCTATAATTTTGCAGTAGCCTCTCTTAGTGAAGTCACTAAGTTGCTCAGGCTGAGCTCAAACTTGAAATCCTCCTTCCTCAGCCTTCCACGGTGCTGGGATTACAGGTGAGTGTCACCATGCCTGGCTGGGCTGATTCTTGAGCTACTTCCCCATTGCTAATGACCATCACTATTGTCCACCTTCTTCAGGGCCCTCTAAAGAGGAGGGTCCTCTTACAGGCTTTTAGAAATGCTCCCAATTGGCTGAAGGTCCTTGTTCAGTTCATATTGGAATCACAAGTAGGCAAGATGTAACTATTTCAGCGTTAACAGCCCCGAGGTTTGAACATCAGCCACTATCAGCTCTCAGGGTTAGCATCCCTCCTCACCCTGGAGCCAGCAGCTACCAACTGGAAGCCCCTGGAAATGAGGGATCCTGGCAATTTCTCTTGCTCTTCATCATTCCCTGGCTGCCAGTGACCTTTGGTGTCACCAGCTCCAGCTGCCGGCTGCTTCTGGCACAAGCAGCCTTTTGTGTTAGCCCCAGCTACTGGTCATTTTCTGGCCAGCAGCCTTTGGTGTTACCCGCTCTTAGTATACCAGTTGTGGCATGTTCTACTCAAGATATAGATCATGAATACACAAAAATATGCCACCTGGAAGAGGTTTCATTAGGGTTTGGGTAGTAGCTGGGCATGGTGGTGCACGCCTGTAATCCCAGCACTCAGGAAGCTGAGGCAGAAGGATTGCTGTGAGTTTGAAGTCAGCCTGGGCTACATAGTGAGTTCAGGACCAGCCTGAACTACACAGAGATACCCTATCTCCAAAAAAAAAAAGGATTTAGGTAGTAGCATACAGACGAACAATCCATAACCTGCTAAGGGTATGGGGAGGTTGCTTTTAGAAAGGAAGAAAGTCAGGCTCACACATGTGCAGTGTCAGAATTTTTGTTTGGTCATGGTGGGAGTGGTGCTTTGCAGACCTGACGAAGAAGGCTGCAGAGGGGCAGGATCATCCAGAGAGGCTGTACAGCATAGTCATCTGGAATAGGTCCATGTCCAAAGCCGGCTACAACCAAAGCAGTGTGTCCTGGCCCAGCCAGCTGGGCTGCCTACAGGGACACACATAAGGCAGCTGGGGAAGAAGAAGAAAAAGTGCCTGTTACAGAATGAGCCCTTCTCTCCTATCTCAGTAGCACTAAGTAGGAATGAAAAATGGGTGCAAGAAACATTTTAAGGAAGACTAAAGGCAGACAAGATATTGCATTTAAGAACATAAGATAGTTAACTTTAAAGTTTTTAACCTTGAAAATTGAGATGTCACAGACATCAGTATAAAAATGGAGTTACAAGATGAATTATAGGTTTGCATAACAATGTGAAAAGTTTGATATTGGGCATGTTAAGTTTGAATATAAGACTATAGACTTTTAAGAAAGAAGTCAGAGTGAAGATTTAACTTGTTAGGGCTGGGGATTTAGCTCAGTGGTTCTGCCATTTGCTTTGCAAGCACAAGGTCCCAAGTTCAATCCCGGTACCAAAAAAGAAAAAAAGATTTAACTTGTTAGGTTTCCAAGTATAAATATTTATATTTCTAGAATGCTGAATTCATCCTCTCTCTCTCTCTCTCTCTCTCTCTCTCTCTCTCTCTCTCAGTTATTTAACAAAAGCAGTTGCTTGCCATGTTGCAGTACAGAGCAGTGGGTAGGAGCATGTAGCTCAGTGGTAGATCACATGCTTAGACTGTGTGGCCAGGGTTCAATGTCACCAACCCTCCCCACCCCCCAAGAAAGGCTATTAAAAGCATAGGCTTGAAAACCAGAGGACTAAGGTTTTAATCCTGACAACTGACAAGCTTTGTGACCTTAGGCAGTTCCTTTATTTTTAAATTTCTGTTTTAATTTTCTCAGAATTGTTTTGAAAACTAAATCAATTGAATTATGAATGCACATAGATCACTCCCTGGCACATAGGAAGTACTGGGAAAGCATTTGGTATTATCACTGTCATCAGCTTCTTCACTCTTATTTGCTAAGCTTATTTGAATACTAGATTATAAACACACAAACAAGAATTGCAATGTTCCTCACCATGTAATGGGCATGACAAAGCTTGACATACAGAGAGATAAGCATAAAGACATAAATCAAGTGTATTTCATTTAATGTAATTTGTATCTGTGTAGTCTTAAATATATGAAAAATTATTACTATCCATCATTGAGATAATTGTCTTGAGCATTGAGTAATTTGTTTAGGCATCAAATTCTGCAGTAGATGTTTTCGGGATTTATGTAAATGATGTTAGCTATCCTTATAAAATGTGATCATTGTTTCATCTCACTTATACTCACAGGTTATTTTTCAGCAGCACTAAGAAGCATAACTTCTACCTTTAATTACATTTGGCTTAGAAGACTGGCCACATCAGTCATTTTAATTTTTCTCTGTTATAGTTGCTTTCCTTATGTTGTGGGACAGGAATTTTAAGCTGCATCAGATACATTAAGGCACAACAGTTTATTCTACTTTGTTTTCATCACCAAGATAAAACATTTTTCTGTCATGTGATTCATGGTAGACACTCAAACTTTTCATAGTCGATGAAATTGCATCAGTGAAGCTGTGGGGTGAGAGTCAGCAGCCTCTTCCCCAGTGTGTGAGTCCTGTTGTGGCAGCAGCTGCCTTTATCACCACACACCTTGCACCTGGCCCACAAGTAATGTCCAGTAAATATCAGTGCAGTCGATGAGTGGACAACATGACTTTTTGCTCTGACCTATATATTTATAACAGAGAGCTTACTAGTTTTAACAACTGTTCCCCCAAATACAGGACACTTAAAATTTATTAAGTTTCTAAGTTGCTTGTGTGGCTTATTTGAAAAACAGGGAAGTGATTTTGGAAGTGTTAATTTGTTGATTGATCTAAGCAGTACAAGTAAAGTCAAAGGACAAAAGTCAGTACTGAATTTAGTATTTTAATGCTGAGAAATTGATTTGATCATTTTTTTCTGATTAAGTTCTTTTTAAGACTTCATGATATCTATTCTTAACCTTGGACTCTTGAAGTGACTTTTGGCTGAAAGCAATCTACATATGTTAAACAGTAACAAATGATGATGATAAAGACCATGACAGTTCTGTATATCACATAATTTCAGCTAATGAAGCACACAAGATATGAATGAGTAAAAATACAGTACATATATCACCAAATCATAAATACTGGTCCTGAATATACTACACCAAAGTGATGTTGGAGTAATGTTACCTTAAATTTCCAAGAGTTGAACTCCCCTATGAAGCATCTTATATGAATCTTAAAAATGCATAATGTAGGGTGGAGGATGTAGCTCAGCGGTGCAGTGCCTGCCTGGCAAGTGCAAGGTCCCGAGTTTGATACCCGCTGCCAAAAAAAAAAAAAAGAAAAGAAAAAAAGCATACTGTAGCAAAGAACATAGGAGGTTATAGGGGGGTTTTTTTCCAGTACTAAAGATTAAACCCAAGACCTTTGCTCTGAGCCACATCCCCACTTCTTTTGTTAATTTTTTTATTTTGAGATAGGGTCTCACAAAGTTGCTAAGTTTTCCAGGCTGGGTTCAAATTTAGCAATCCTCCTGCCTCAGCCTCCCAGAGTGCTGGGATTATAGATGTATGCTGCTTTACCCAGCTAGGACCTTATGAAATGTTATAATAATACTATATCTATTTAATATAGTAGTATCACAAGATAATAAAATTGAAGGCACTTTTGCAGTTTTAAAATATTTTTATTTTGCTTTTTTAAAATTGTGGTAACCACTTCTGACTTCTGGGCTGGGGATTTAGCTCAGTGGTTCCGCCGCTTGCCTCGCAAGCACAAGGACCCGAGTTTGATCCCTGGTACCAAAAAAGTAAAATAAAATAAAATTGTGGTAAAAACTCACAATGAATGTAATCATTATATACTGCACACATGTACTAATAAAGAAAACTTCTTAAATAAATAAGTGGTAATATTTATAGCAAAACTTATCATGTGATAAGTTATGATTTTTTTAATTGTGATAATTTTTTAACTTAAACAAAACACACGTCACTTAAAATTTGTCATCTTAACTATTTTTAAATGTAGAGTACAACAGTACTAAGTATATATATACATTGTTTTGCAGGTAGCTTCTAGAATATATGTACATTTTATAAAGAAATGTTTTTAAGATGCCAGCTGTTAAGTGATTTTATGTTGCACATCAAGATATTTTTGTTCAAAAAATATCACTAATAAACATTGAACCTGTATATCACTAATAAACATGTATATCACTAATGGACATGTATATCACTGATAAAGATTTTAGATTTTGAACAATAATATTAATCTCTCTTTCTCTCAATTAATAGGAGTGAGCTGAGTCGACAAAAACGTCATACCCAGGAGCTACTCTCTCAGCTAGAAATAGCAAATGAAAAGGCAGCCGAGGTAAGGTCATGATTCCCCGGGGAAGTACTTCCGGCTGCAGCGTGATACATTAGAGAATTTTATCTGCAACAAGTCCAAATTAATCCTCCACTTGGAAGTAACCACATAGAAATTGTCCATAACCCCAAAAGTCCACACATAATATAATATGTATAAAAGCTTTGAAAGCCAGTGGTTGATGATCTGTACATTAAAAAAGGGTAGTGATCTTATTTGAATTCTACTAATATATACTAGTGTAGCTTGTATAATATTTTGAGAATCATTAGGATCTTTTTTCCTATGAGTTTCTACGATTATCCTATTTAACCCATTCCTCTTACTTTGTTTTAATTGATCAAGAAAGACACATAGAAAATACTTTTGCTACTGGACTATATTAAAATATATTCAGATTGATGCCTTACAACTAACTATAGCCAGTTTATCATTGTTTTTATTTTATTGGTACATTTTTAGGTGTACAGTATAATGACATTCATCACTGGAAATTTCCACCTTTACATAATCTCTCTTGCATCTAATTTTTTCCCCATTCCCCTGCTCTCCCATCAACCCCTCCATCCCTCCTATTTACAAAGACTTTGTTTCCATTTTTTCATTTTCTCATATTAATTCCATTCCTTTCTTTCCTTTCCCCTACC